ACACACACAAAAAAAAAAAAAAGGAAAATAAAAAAAAGATGCCCTGGTAGCACCCCTCCCAGGGCCAGGGGAGCATCCACTACTGCCAGTAACGGCCAGAAGGTCATACCGAAAAGATGCATGGTACTGGTAGGGGCATATGGAACATTCTTGTGCCTGTACGGAACGGCTATCAGGTAGGGGCAAACTGGAAATTTGGCAGCGGTACTCGTAGGGGCGTATTGAAAATATCTCAGGCCCAAACGGCGTCAGGGGCTTTTCGGAAACTCGAATCACTGTCAGAGGGGTAAATCAGGTTAAGTCGGCAGTCGGAGGGGCAAATCGCAAAGAAATGCAAACTTCAGGGGCATTTCGAAAAATTTCCCAAAGAAAAATTAGAACTTGTCTGAACAGTAGATCAGCACCAGGGAAAAGTTAAAAAAAGAGAAACAATAGAACCGTCTGAAGAGTAGGAACAAAGCCAGGGAAAAACAACAGAAAAAAAGGGATAATCGACTGAACAAAGAAATATCTTTGGCTATGGGAATGGGACTGACCTTCCAACACCCAAAATGATCTTCGGCTACACAAAGCAGACAGCGAATTATCTTCGGCTACACGAAGCAGACAGCGAATTATATTCGGCTACACAAATTGGCTGAAGAAACAGCTGCTAAATGAGAATGGTGTGAAAAAATGGTAGAAGGGCCACCCCTTTTCTCTAAATGAGAATGGTGTGAAAGAATGTAGAAGGGCCGCCCCTTTTTGGGGTGAAAGAAAGGTGTATTAATTAGAGAAAAAGGGGCGGCACTTAAACCACTCAAATTAGCAGCAGTGCTATCAAGTACAAAAACTTGTGATCTTGAATTCGTGATAACAAGGTGCCGCTTATACAATGAGCTTTGCCCTGCACTAGACAGCCCCTTCACCAAGGCATCACAATCATTTTAAGTATGGACATCGATTTTAATTTTTAACCGTCGACATTATAAGAACACACCGCTTATGATATCTAATACCTATGAATCAGAGTGGGAAAGGGGTTTGCTATTGATCTGGAAAGGCGTAATGAACGCCCTTTTAGCAATTTCGATCAGTACACTCGATATCTTGGCCAATAATTGATTGATGTGTATGTGTGCTATGGGTCCATGTGCAATGAGGACAAGGCGTCTGTTTTGTTCTCTCTTCTTGCAAAATGCTTTCAATGCTCACCTTCAATATTCTGGCATGATTACTCTGTGTGTGTGTGTGTGTGTGTGTGTGTGTGTGTGTGTGTGTGTGTGTGTGTGTGTGTGTGCGCGCGCGCGTGTGCTGTTNGCGCGCGCGCGCGTGCTGTTCTGTGTGTGTGTGTGTGTGCGCGCGCGCGCGCGTGCTGTTCTGTGTGTGTGTGTGTGTGTGTGTGTGTGTGTGTGTGTGTGTGTGTGTGTGTGTGTGTGGGCGTGCTGTTCCAAATGGAAGACGTGTAAAGAGGTGTGCATTCCTATGTATGCTGACATGCAAGTTATCCTCGTGGCCCTGTTCTTGGTGTTTGGTGGAATGCGCATGCACAGTTCACAAAGAAGAGCGGGCGGCGACCATAGGATGGGGGGTGTGGATGGGTAATGCAAATGCGCGGCACACGGCTGTAGAAGATGGAGACGGCGATGTCATGGGAGTTGGTTCTCGTTGACATGTGTCAACTGCGGCGTTTCTGGGAAGAGGAGAGAATGTTTTGATGTTCATGGCTCGATTGCAGCCCGTTCAGCATTCAGCTTTTCACTAACAGATGATGTTATGCGGGGGGCGCAACGGGATGGAGAGAGAGAGAGAGAGAGAGTCTGAAAAATGAGGAGGAGAGATGCAGCAAGACATGCATATACGAATTGCCTGCGGAACATAATGTACCTGGAGGCCATGGAGTGAAGGGAATTGCATTTTGTGATTTGAAATGTGCACACACACACAGAGAGAGAGAGAGAGAGAGAGAGAGAGAGAGAGAGAGAGAGAGAGAGAATCTGTGGAGGGTGTTGTCTGCTTAAAGCGGAAGTTGATTGCTACGGAGTCGAGGGGTGACGATGGTAGGTGCTGCGTTGTGAAGTCTCTGTTTTGTGCATAGGAGACGGGAAGAGTCGACACTTTTGACAGGGGCAGATTGGCAAGTGTAACCAGAGGGTGGTATAAGGTGGCGAAGTCGGGGATTCAGAGCTGAGGCTGAGGCGAGTGCTGTTGATTTTGGGACATTTTGAGCTTCAGCTGGCCAGCAAGAGGGCTTGCAGCGCGGCAGGTTACGTCAATGTTTCATGGCATCCAATTCGTGCATGGTATCGGTGATCTTATTGTATTTGCAATGCTGCCGAGGACTCGCAATGGTACTGATGCTCGCTTTGGGCGTCATGTTTCTTTGGGCGTCACATTTCTTTGGGCATCACGTTCATAGGACAGAATTGTTATCGGATGTGAAGGTGAGGATCTGATCTATCTATCTATCTATCTGTCTTGAGTTCTCTGTGCTCTCTATGGCATGGCATGGCATGGCATGGATGGTCAAGCTGGTACGTCGATTAGGAGGGAGTGTCCATCGTTGGCGGTCCTTCGTTGCTCACCTGTGGCCCTTCCCAACAGAGGATCATTTTGATTCATGTGTTTTAGGGGTTTTGTCTTTGGGGGGTTGTTTGAATGCTCTGCTGTCCCTCTGAAGCATGCCGTGAGTTGTCCTCACTTGGTCTTATTTTAGTGCCCAGCAAGTTTGCAAAGGCGGATAAAGGGCTAGTGGAGGGAGGGAGGGAGGGAGGGAGGGAGGGGTGGAGCCGTTGTTGGCAGCTTTTTTCTTCATTGTTGTTGTACGCCAGGGACAGAAATTGTTTCCTCTGAGTGGGGAGAGCACGGAGGGAGGGGGTGAACTGGAGGTAAAGAAGGATCGGGTTGGGCGTAGGGGGGGAGGGGGGGGAGGGAGGGAGGGAGGGAGGGAAGATGCGAGGAAAGAGATCCTTGGCATTATAAGTGCAGTGATTAAAACACAGGCAGGAAATAACTAAAGGCAAAGCGAAATGGGCGAGATCATCGCCAAGATGTTTTCATTTAACAGAGTGTCCACGTTGTGCAAGTGCTGTCGACACTTGATTTGAAAAAGAATGCCCAACGGCGCTTTACATGCGGTAGGCTGATCCCCTATTATTTCCCCATTTCTATTTTTAGAAGAGTTGGGTCGGTTGAACTTCGTTCCATCGCCAAAATCGAAGTTCGTCGTTTCATTTATTTGCTCAAGGCTTAGTCGAGATGTAGTTGAGCGAGCTCTTTTTTTTTTTTTTTTTTTTTTTTTTTTTTTTTTACTTTTTTATTTTTTTAAGTTTTTTTTCCCTCAAACCGCGTATGTATTGGATCACTGTGTTACGGCGGGCTTCTGCACCCCTGATTGTGATGATGGCTGACTAATTTGAAATTTCTACTCCATATTCTAGTGTAGGTAACAGGGGTTTAACAGGGGTTTAACAGGGTTTGACAGGGGTTTAACAAGGGTTTTAATATAGCTGAGCGAAAGCACGAGCAAAAGTTAAAGCTGTTTATATAGCTGAGGGCATCCTGGATTGCAACAGAGAAAGAAAGGTAATTTGGGAGTGTGTTGTGTTCTCGCTGAGCACGCGCGTCTGAAGTGTGTTGTGTTCTCTCGACTTTGTGAGGCGGACGTCAACGTGTGTGCTAGTGTGTATTCGCTCTGACGAGTTTACGGGGGCGAATGTGACAACATGGAAGCGTATTCCCCTCCGTCTTCCTGCTGAAACAACAGTATACACCGGTGTGCCATCATCGTTGTGATGGTCTGTCCGGCATGCTCTTTTTGATTGTCCCCTGAGCTTGCAATTTCATGACTTTAGTGATGTGGTCCTGGCTTCAACGGTGGGTTAATAATAATTATATATGAATCCCTCCTTGTTTCGCAGGCGAAGTGAAATCTTCCAGCCTTCCTTTCCGCATGAAATGGCAGTTTAGAGAGTGTAGAGAGTACTCTTAAGCGAAAGCCTTCTCACTCTCACAGACAGCCTCTTGAAGGCTGAGGTGGGGTGTGATGGTAATCAGATTGAATATGAATGCACGATTTGGATGGGCCACAAGTAGCCCCATACACTAACTTGTGGGGTCTGCTGATGGGTCAGGGATGATTTCCCTTTTTGTATAGAGAAGGTGAAAAGACACTATCAGTGGGATAAGAAGAAAAAAGAAAAAAGAAAATTGCATGCCCAAGGGGTCTCAGCCCCCCCACTTCTTGGAAATGAACCCCAGCACGCCTCTTCGACACAGAATTAAATGTTGCAATTTTTTTGAGAGCGCCTCTGAGTTTTATGGGTAGGTTCTGGTTCTTGTGTCCAGCCACAGGATGAACTGGCAGCAGCACTTCTGAGAAACTTCCCCTCCCCTTCGGCATTATTCGGCAGGGCAAAAACAATCAGAGTGTTGCGGACAGAGGGAGCATGAAATCATTTCTTGTCTGCACAGAGTCAAGGAGGGGGTGGGGGTGGGGGGGGGGATTGATATGAAAGCTCTCCTGTTTTCAATTGGATAGATGCACGTGGAAACTACTCATTCAGAGTCTTATCATCACGTCTCTGTGTGTTTTGCAAGATAGTGGGTTTTGCATGCTTGTGTACTGAACGCATGCGCACACACACAGATGGACTCACATGCGGTTGCATCCTTGTGTACTGAATGCATGCGCACACGCACGGATGGTGTTTATTGTGGAAGTACTGGGAATGTTATCGGCAGATGGCCGTCGCTGGATGCTGCCTCTCACAAGCCAGATCCAGCCAACGCAGATGGTGTTACCATATAACTCTTCCAAAGAGACTTTGAGGTTATCAACT